GCCATCGATTTAGACTGTGGGCTCCCACACGCCAAGGCCAACTCAGCCCGGCTGATCTTGCAGCTATTGCAGCCGGGTTTTCGGCTCATGTAGCCTCTACAATGCAAGACCTTGGAATCAAGAGGGTGATCGAACCGGTAATTATGTTTTTACTACTAATATTCTTTTAATGTCGATTTAACGATTTATGCAGCCGTGTTTTTTTAGTAGGTAGCTAAAAAGACAATCAGCAGACGTGGTGCGAGGACTGTGTGTGGGTACGATGCAGCGGTGCATCGAAAGAACGCGTAACCACAATGTTGCTCGGCGATATCGATGGTAACAAGTACGCGCCGTTTGCCATTACTGCACAAGTACTTCTTTACTTGCAGCAGGCTTACGCGCAATTAGATAAGTCAAGCGAATTAGTTGATCAGCCGCCATGGAGGAGGTAGAGCCCCAGGCGTCACCAAAACGCATCAACCCGCCTTTGGGTTCGCCAGTCCAACCACTTCCATCACTGAGTGTTGCGCTGTGGACTCGAAACGTGTTTCAGCTACAGCGCGCAGCAATGATTGAACACACCCTGAAGCAGGAGCACTACTCAAATGCATACCATTGGAAGCTCTGAGTACAAAGTCGCACCGTTCGGTTCGCTTTCCCCAGATAGACTCAGAGCTCACAAAATTAGCTTGACTGGCTTACATAAGAAAATTAAAAAAGCCAAACTACCGTATTTCGCATGTAGACCGATACACCCCATGTTATGATGGATAGGTGTCCCTTCAAAAATGATGTAAAAAACTGAAGAAACAAAATCTCAATTTTTAGACAGTTGTCTCTTCGATGATGTCTTGAACGGCGGCGTCATCACTTTCACTACCGGTAGCCCTTTTAGTAGCGAAGGTTTATCGAGTTGGGTCACCAACTGACTCGACGCAATGCAGCTCGCACTCGGCTCCAGTTTGCTTCGCTTAAACCCATTAGAAATTGTAGTAGCAGGAAGTGATTTCCACGCATGCTGAATCCAGTCACATATCAGGATCCTATTGGGTCTCGCAGCTTGAATGTTGTGCCACCAGTTGGGGGGGGGGGTAGTTGCTTTGTTGAGATGTCTTTTGACCTTAGACAAAGGCCGAGCAGGCCTTCTCTTGCAGTGAGAAATTCCAGGCGACATCCGCTGGCTGCGAGACAGCGGTCTCGCTCTTCGGCACTTTCATTAGCACTACGTTGATTGATGCAGCGTAAGTTCTCCACCTTTTGCGTCCAGTGGCCACTAAAATCATCCCACAAGAGCAGCACCGGCTCTTTTAGAGAGGGACGCCATCCAAAGTGGTGTTTTAAAATAATAACATACAGATCTTGATTCCATTACCCTAAAAAACAAAAAAAATAGTTTCAGCTGGCTAACTTTCAATTAGCGCACGTAAAACTATACCTTTGCTGTTACCATGAATTAGCAAATTGTGTTTTGCTTGAATCACCTTGACGACGTCCCAAACACGAATACCGAACGCATTCCTTTTTCCAGTATTTTCTGCTTGGGTTTCTTCGCTTTTTGAGGGCTTACCTTTCATAGCTATGCTTTCCGCTTCGTGGCGTCACTATTCATTCCTCAGTCTGTTTTATGACGTAAGTGGGGCAAGGTATGCGGTATTGCAGTTGAAAATGCCATCGCAAGCCGGAGCCCTTAGCGAACTCGTGTGTACCTTATTACCGGGCTCAGCTTCTAATAGTGATTTCTTTATAATAATAATAAAATGAGGCTTCCCGACGCTATCAACACAGAATGGATCGTCTGGAATACATGAATAACGTGAAAGCATATCCAAAGTCTTACTCCATGATTGATTACCAGCGCTATCTCTAGTATTGTTGCACATAACAGCGAGCAAACAGTTCTCGTCCCATCGCTTCTTGTAGTATGCAGCAATGAGACGCCCATCCTCTCGCAAAGCTTCCCACTCAGTGCGTTCTTCCGGCTTGAGGGAAGGTAACAGATCCGTGGTCAAATAGAAATCCTTTTCGGTGTCATGTAACATCATCGACTGGGTGACAAAGTCATAACTGAGACGCTCGTGACCGCGCACAACCGCCATCCTGCACAATGGGTCGTTACTGAACACCACGCGCTTCCCGACAGGAAGTTTACGCTTGAGCGAGCGTCCAACGCCATTCTGCTGGAATCCTCCCTTCGGTAAACCTGTAATGTCCATGAGAGTGTTAAGAATATCATACTGGTCTGCAGCGTCGTCGATAACGAGGCCCACTGCATCTCCCAGTCGACCTTCAGCAATGATCGCGGCTGGGACACGCGTCACAGACTCCTCATGTAAGTGGCAATTGTCGATTTCTGGCGCTTGGCCGTGGTCGCCTACAATGACAACGATAGTGTCATTGAGGGACCCTCCTTTCTCCATACGGTCCATGAAGTTGTTAAGCTCCATATCGGTAAAATACCTCACTTTCATGTACCTTTCGATCCTGTCTGCGTGTTCCTCGCCTTCGTACATGGCTGAAAAGTCAGGCTTTGCAGACTTTTCGAACCAGTAGGGCCATGATGGGTACGGTTCGTGATTTGAAATTGTGTAGTGAGTGATAAACATGGGCTTCTTTGGCTCCCCACGCTCCATTCTTTTTCTTTGCTTCTTCAGCTGGATCAGTAACAAGTCGCCTACAAGTTGAAAACTGACGTCATCATGGACACCCCAGCCAAACCCTCGATGTTCAGTGCCTCTCCAGTCAGCAGGACTAATTTTGAACCTTTCTCCCGCTAACGACTTCATCTTATTGGCGTCCCACACATTATCATATTCATGCGAAGGCAAGAAGGTGTTCCAGTTGTCAAATTCTAATGTGGATCCCGTAGTGAAGAATGTCTCGTATCCCTTTTCAGAGAATAATTGCGGTAGTCCCCACAGCTGGGTTTCTAACTTACCGCCAGTGATCCCGCTCTGTGTGCTGCTACGATACGGAACTTGAGCGAAAAGCAAACTTTCTAGAGAGCGACTCGTGAGGATACTGGACCAGATATTGCGCAGGGCAACGCCAAAGATTCCACTCCAATGATTAAAACATTCGGCGGGTTGTCGTTGTCAATTGTGACGTTAAAGGCGAGCTCTCCTTTGAAGCCTGCGGTGCGTCTGAATAGTGTATCATCTCCAAAGCGCTCATGTTCTTCGGCCTTGTCAATAAACTTCTCTACCCACGGTCCATCCCCCATTAGGTTTGCAAGTTCGACCTCCATAGGAGCAGGCTCAAATATGTGGAGGAGTAACTCGTTCAGTGTCATATTTAACCCTGTGTATACCACGAGCGGAGTGCAAGCTATCCGGACTGCTACTGCAAGCGCAGGTTCAACCACGAGGCCCAGGATGACGACAGCAGCACGTAGAGCTTGGTAGCTTGTAGTTGGCGCTTCGGTCGCCTTCTTTAAGGCATTATCAGTCGATCTTGTGCCATCTTCTAGAGTCATAGCCTTGTATTTGACACCTCCCGCACCGTTCTTCGACGATTTACCGATAGTAACGGGATTCAGTACTAGCTGGGTTGGGTTCCAGAGTGCCAGATTAGCCCACCTTGTCCAGACTCGCACCAACGCAAACAGTGCAGCAATAATAGCAAGATAACATGCAGTCACGTAGGCTACCTGGACTTCATCACTGGATATCGGAGCGTCTTTGAGATGTTCTCTCTCTCTCTCTGATCAACGAAGCGACGAGACTGAACGAGAAACGCATGTCGCGGTAGACCACAAGCATCATATCAGCTATGCAAGGCGCCATCACGCCTAGAAACAGCAGCCACGAGACCGTGGAATTTGCAATCTCCCCAACAATCTTCAACGACATCCCGCAAGTTGCTTTCAGGCGCTCTAGCGCCATTTGCTTGAGAGTATCGAACATCCAAAGCGCAGTCGCGACGTATGTCGTACACACAAAATCTTCGAGGAATCCAAGACTTAGCGCTGATATCTTGACGACTGCGGTGTTATCCGTGGAACTTCCGTACATATTCACTAGAGTTTTGAGAGCGAGACAGCGACTGACGGAGAAGTAGAACTGGACAAAAGCGAAAACGAAGAGCCAGCCTAACCACGGAAGAGAGCGTATGTCCACCGCTCGAAAGTCCTCGAATGACCATCTCCATCCTTAATTTTTTTGTAGCGTTTTCATTTGGGATGACGTGCTCGTCCCTGTTGAACGAGCGTAGATCGGAAAAACGAAGCTGAGTTGAATCCATGTCGCTCTGGTGGCGATGGAGCCGTGCCCTTGATTCCATGGAGGTTTCTCCGCCACACACTGAATTAAAAATGAGATTGAGGCTGATACGGAGTTATCCTGGTACTGTCCCATAGAACGTATTACTTCAGTAAAATGTAATCGACGTGACATTACTGTATTCACTCCTGGAGCAAATCTAAAAACAAGACTTATCGGTGGGATTAGTGCCAGATTCGTTCAGCGGACTCATCAATCTCTGATGGTGGGACTCAGCAAGGCGTTTATTTCACACTATGCGATAGGGCACAGATTCGATAGAGTTTTATTTAAAAAAAAATACTTTATTCTGTATCGTGATGCTGATATATCCACTGCCCAACTAACGTTTAATATAACATTTGTACAGCCGGACAATATCTTCAAGCGGACACGCGCTATTAATAAGCCAATCGTAATAACGCATTTCGCAAGAAAAACCGACGGGTGAGAAATTTGCAGAACGTTTTTTTTCACTTATTTTCGAGCGCACTCTGTAATCCATCTGTACCCACTCTCCCACAGTTCACCTGAGAGTTCAAGAACGATGCCACGAGGACGAAAGCGTGCTCCTGGGGGCGGCAGCCGACAAGCGATTAAATACGATAACCTGGTTGTTTACATCCAATTAGTGTGTTTCGCTCGTCAGAAATGTTTACCTCACGTCCAATCGCAAAAGGCGAGAGACGGTCTGATCGTGACAAATCCAGTCATTGTCGCAGGTCGGTAAATATTGACCAATACGCGCGCAGTGTGACGTTGCTGGGTATACATGTATTAAGATAGTCGGTAAGATGAAACCTATGTATTAGAAAGGCCGAGTATACTCATGCGAAAAGGAAGGTCAAAGCAGGAAGACAGGGAATGCGTGACAGATAAGTCCGTACAGTATTATAAACAATTCGGAACTAACAGTTTCTTTTATTTCTTAAACTGTTTACTGTTTATCTTATAAGTTCTGAATAAGCACATAATACCAAACCCTAAAAAAAAAACTACTGCATTGGTAAGACCATGGACTTCGTTTAACGCCGGTAAACGATCACTTTACTATTTGCATTCCAGCCCCCAAGCTCTTCATATTCTCGGCCAACGTTCAAAAACGTACTATGCGTCTGATAGCGGGCGTGTTGGCAGGTTTTTTGATAATCTGCGAAGCCACTTCGGCGAGTGAGTCCGACCATACCATGGCGTACCAGACGGCCGGCACGGATAATACTCAGCCCACTGACGCTGTGGAAAACAGCATCGCGAGCAAGCGGTTTCTAAGGGCCGACGTGGTCATGAACCGTGGCGTAGAGAGAATCTTCGAGGCTCTGAAAAACCTGCTACCTGGAGCCAAGATATTCGCGAAGGACGGGGCGTCATTTTCCGGGACATTCGTGAGAAAAATGCTTGGCGATAAAGCCTTTCGGAAACAAGAGTTTGAGCGCTGGATTCGATCTGATATAGACGGAACAGCCCTTCGGCGAATGCTTGGGGACATGAATAAGAAAGGAAGAGCGGAGCTTCTAAACAGATATACCGCTTTCCTTGGCTCAAAGGATGGACTTGTATACTACAAGCCAGGGCCTATTGCCTAGGAGAGTGACAGTTTCAATACGAGTTAGGTCGCTTTTCAATCAACATCAATTCGAAACACCGCAAGTTACGGTTATTTTACATCGTACTTAGAGAACTCGACAGCTAGGCAGCGGACTGCTTTGAATACCGGTAACAACCGAAGCCACTACCAGGTTACATCGTTAACTCTTGAATAAAAAATATTTTTTTAAAAAACCTATCGTAATTTTCTTTAGTTTATAAATACCGTCAGTTTAGGGACTCAACACTGTATTTTCTCAAATAGCACTCATATATAGCCAGGGCATCCCTGTAGCACCCAACGACTCGCTAACAGTTTTTTATAGGCCAATTTTCTACAAATAGTTGCAAGCCTAGGATATTGATCTCACTCGACGATGAGCGCGCAATTCATCGATGCGTTGGTGCAGCTTGTCTAACGAGTAGACTATGGCCCTCGGAAGTACGACCTGCAGAAGATCAAGTCCCGCATACCGTACATGAAGGACCGATACGTGCTGGGCGCGTGTGATGGATTCGGAGGCACCAGCACTGGTGTTCGTTGGCTCGTGTGATTTGGTGGCAGGGGTACGTGGGTATACACGTATTCCGAACGACCCCCAGCATGTCTTTGACATCCTCGGAACAACCAACATTCGGGAGTTCGTAGAGAAGGGTGCAAGGGAGGAGCAAGAAGAAGGCCGATTTTATTCGTCGGGCCAGTACAGCGTACACCTGCCAAACTACTACTCCAAGCTCGTATTTCCGCACAGCGAAGCCTATGTGTATAGGTCTGAATACTGGCTTCAATCTGGAAACCGTGAGTCCCCCATACACGTCGACCACGGTCGTGTGATTTCGTACCTACCCCCGTGCGCGAAGACGGCCTTCAAGATTTGGGTGGTATTTCCATCAGCTTCTAAGGCGACCACATCCTTCAACTACGGAATCAAGGAGGACTCCTTGAATAGGACCTACGTACGCCTGGAAGTTCGGTGCTTATACAACGACCCGGCGATGTCGTGTGCTCGAATAACCTGGTGTTTCACTCGGTACTTCTCGTCTACCAGAAGGGCACTGCTGAAAAATACAAATGGGGCGGTGTTTTGGCGACGTTGTGGTTTGTGAAGTGGACCGCGTTGCATCGTTTCGATATGCAACCAAGCTGGCATCAGGAAGCAAAAAGGATTCTGTTGGATCGTGGGAGTCTCTGCTAACAGCGTACTCTACGATGGAGGGACGTGTGTATGACCAGGCAAACTTCGAGCGTGAGAAGAAGCTATTCTATTAAAAGTTAAGGGCTCTGAGAAAGCTCGTCGAGGCGCGAATGCGAAGAAAAAGAAGAAGCGGAAACGGAATGAGAAGCTAGCTGCCGTATGGGCTGCCAAGCACCAAAATTGACTGCAGTACACTTTGCTCCTAATCAGAATTCAAACTTCTGATAATGCATTTCTTTTTTGCATCCTAACTTGCACTTTCGATTTGGGGGACTGTTTCGACGTACAGGTAGTTTTCAAAGTACTACTGCTTAAACTTGTACAAGCTACTTTTTGTCAAATATAAGTTCTAAAACACTTGTAGTTACGATCGCCTCCTCTGAAACTATGGGTTTTGCAGCCTATCTTGCACATTAACGATAAGTGGACCCAGCTTGTTTGAGGCAGCATCGAAACACTTAGCCGCACCATTTGTACAAGCCAGATTTGGTCACTCTGTATAAACGACCTCCACGCGCTTTTTTATTTAGCGTAAAGATCCAACAATCAAACACTCTGACACAGTTATCTCGCAGCCTAACTTGCAATATTTGTTTTCACATACATTTGTAAAGTAATTGGATAAGCTCAAGTAATATCTTAAAGTTTCTACAGGCCAGATTTGGCGTCTGTGTATTAGTCTTGGCACGCCAGAGCCTACGTGCGCTGCTTCTCCAGGATTCAGAATCTGGATCGGCCGCGGCCCTGGTGCCAATTATAATCAGAGAGTGTCCGTAAGGACTGATTCATTATTCACTGAGTCGTAACAACGGTTTGTACAAGCGGGAAAACAATAGGGCTGTCACTGAGGTCATGTCAATGTGATTTTTGTATAGTTTTTAAAACGCAGCCTATCTTGTCCGTCGACAAGCACACCATCTTTGTGAGCTGTTAGCATCGGTACGGTAGCTACCGAATCACTTCTACAAACTAGAATTTCCGTAACCGACTCTTGTTTAGAGATAACTACTTGAATTTATGAATGCGTTCACCTTTGCAGCAGCAAGTTTCTATACTACTCATGAAGTATTGTTACTCTATTTCTAGCGCCGGACCAAGGGAGCGCGGCCTACCAGCACTTCCCGAGGCACTTTCTACGCGACTTCACCCCTCTGTAAACCGGCGTTTCTCTTCCGTGTATGTCAGTAACCCCGCATCTATATTCATAGCGTACAGCGTGTGGATGCAGGATCCGTACTTGAACCAAAAGTTGCACGGACACGAGCGGGATTGCATATTCACGGGCCAACCCGATGCAGGCATTCCCTGCGTCTCCACATTTGCAGTGAGCTTGTTCAATTGCGAAGCGATCGGCAGGTCCTCTTCTGTCTTCTTTCTCATTACGTCATAAACGCGGGGCGACGGATGGCTAACAACATGGACCAAGTCACGTGACGAAATGTCGGGAGGATTGGATAGCAGGAAAGCAATGCTATTTCTCGAGGTAAAGCACACTGACAGTAGCCCGGCTCTAGCCATCGCTTTGACACATCGCACAAGTCTTGCGTCTAGCTCGCAAGTAGC